TAGAGCACACAGTGTAATAAATGATTTGAAGGTAAGTACATTCATGAAATAACAATAAAAAGTTAGAATATGACATACAAAATAAAAATACAAAACAGAGTTTGCACATCAAACATTATTCACGAATTTTGTTTGATTAGGGCTGCATGGCTTTCTATTGTATTTCCGTCACACAATATCGACGGGCATTTACACATCAAATTTTCATCAAATTTTAATTATTGATGTGTAAACACCGCCAACCGTACAAAATAGATGTTATTATTCTTGTCAAACAATTTTCTATTATACATTTTATTTGACATTAGTAGATGTCAGGAATTGACTTTAATATTGAAGTGAAATAGGCATAATGTAACGATTTTTGTTTTATAATTTGTCACATTATTCAACACAATTATGTGAGAATGAACGTTATACATGCTAAATTATTTTTCGAAACAAAAATTTTTAAATAATTTTTTAGAGATTTAAATAAAATTTTGATATATTTTTATTTTTTGAATAATTCTGCTGGAATAGATGGCGGCATTTGTGCCGACAAATTATAAGAAATGTTAAAAAGAGAAAATTCCTTATAGTTTACATTTTGATTTTTATTGCAGAAAATTTGCCAAATAAATAAATATTATCCAAAATAAAATTTAATAGTGTTGAGATTAAAATAGAAAAAATTTAAAACAATAAAACTAAATTGAGTAGAAAAATAAAATTAATACTCGTAACTATTTTTTAATATGAATTTTTTTCCTTTCTTTCTCACCATTTCTTTCACTTTATCTTCTCTCCTCTCTTCTTACATTATTCCATATTGGTATAAAAACAAAAAATGAAAAAAAAAAAAACAATTTAAAATTTTAAAAAGAAAAGAAAATCAGGTTATTTTAGGTTATTAACATTGGTAATGGGAAACACAATAATTATATACATAATATACATAAACATTATCTATGGATATATACAAACATACATATGTATATAGTGTTATACGGGCAAGCCAAATGAAGTTTTGTATACAATGAAGTTTTTTTTTTTTGGTTTTGAAAATGAACGAACGATAAGAGAATAAATTATTATAAAAAACAAAAATAAAAACAAAATAAAAATAAAAGATTTTATTTTATATAGCGATGGTACATACATATTTTTTTTCTCTCTTTCTCTCTTTTCTACTCTTACTCCTATTTTAAAGAAAGTCCAAACTTTATAACTGCATAATTTTGAACGAAAATACGATAATCGATACATAATAGTAATAAATTCGATTATCGTGAATTTTTTTTACGATTTTAAATAAAATTTTACTTTTAAATTAATCCATAGTAGTTTATTATTAAATAATTTAGTTTTTAATTTAACAAAAACTTTAACAAATTGTTAAATTAACAAGAATTGAGTTTGACAAAAAAAAAGAGAAATGGTAAAGTAGAAAAAAGGTGAATTAAAATTATATACAACGTTAAATTCAACAAAAACGGTAATTATTGTGAATACAGAAAAAAAATATTGACCTTTTTATAATTTTTTTATCAAAATTGTTAAATTTTAATCACAATTAACGTACATACATATATTGAAATTTTTTTAACATTTTTTCGATAAATTTATTTAATACCGTCATTGCCCACCATTTTTCAAATCAAAAAAATGAAGAATAAGTGTAGGTATGTATGTATGTATGTAACAATTACACGGTGATGAAATAATTTTTTGTTTTTTATTATATTTTATTCGATATTTTTGATAAACACGATTTATTACAAAATTGTATGATTGATTTAATCAAAAAAATTACTTAATATTTTGTTGTATGCATGTAGGTAGCTTTTGTGATTTTCATTTTAAAATAGATTAAAAAATTTTTTAATTTTTGATTATTGTGAACTAAATTTTGTAATATTGTATATATACTACAGGAACGTGTCTACGAAATTAAAAAATAATCAAAGATTAAATTATATTTCAAACTTGTATGATCCAAGATTAAATTGTAATTCAAACTTGTATGGTATTAAGTTTTTAAGTATTATTCAAAAGTTAATGCAAAATCTTGTAATAATGCAGAAAAATTTATGAATTTCAAACTCGTTTTATGAAATAATTTAGATTTATTTATTATCAGAACCGATTTTTTCTCAGTGTGTCAAATAAAAAAAATAAGTTAAAAGTCTGTTTAACACAAATTAAGTGAGGTGGCGATTTAAAAAGAGAAACACGAAACTGTTTGATGCGTTTTAAAATGAGTGTATAATTAAAATAAAGACAATGCCAGTCAATACACTGAGAAAAAATTGCGCCCTTAATACAGTGAACATTTAATTTTAATTTGAATTTTTTTAAAATAATTCCTATTCATTTTGTGGAGAGTTCATGTAAAATACGTAAAAAGTTTAAATACGTTTACAATGTATTTCAATAATAATTATAAATCTTTCAAAAATTAAATGGAAGGGCATGACAAACACTTTTTTTGTATTTAATTATTTCCTTTGACATTTTTTTTTCGTCGCTTTTTCTAAAAAAATAGTAATTACAAATTTTAAAATATAATTAAAGGAGATTGCATAAGCATACAAGTTATAACAATAGAAATTTTTGTATTTTGAAATTTCAAATCTCATAACTTTTATCTTAAAATATGTGTGGGTAAAGAAATAATGAAAAACATCTTATGCATGTTTGCTCGGAAATTTGTTTATACATGTATATATTAAAAATTGTTGAAATTTTCCACTTTTTTTACAATAATAAGTTAAATCTAAATGAAAGACTAAAAAAGTAGTCAGTGTAAATGATTTTATAACATCTTCACTTTTTGTTATTCCACTTTGAATGAATGAACGTTTGTATATTTTTAAGTATCTCACATTAATCATATTATGTATCGTATGTCTATAAAGTAGAAAGGAAACCAAGTATAATGAAAAAAAGCAACATTTTATTAGCCACGCTCTTTTTGTTGTAGAAAGACTGAAAACATTTAAAGCAAAAAAAAATAAAAGTTTAAAATGTACAACTGTTTGAATCATTCACAATAGCAATTATAATTAGATTAATATATGTAAGAGTGCATGTATAAGCCTTGCAAAAACTTTAATTACAATAAGCCAAGCAAAAACTCGTAATTTTTTAATAAATCATGAAAAAATATCAAAAATTATTCCCACATTGTTGCATACTTTCTTCTATACGCTTTTTATAATTTTCAGCAAAAATTTTAAATATTAATTGAACTGGTTTTTTTTTATAAATTTTGCAGTCGATCAGACACTGTATATCCCAACAGACATTAAAATATACCATTAAAATTTCAATTAGATAAAAATTTTAATAAACACAACATGCTTAAGCATACATTATGGACAAAATATATGCATGCCTGCAGCTAAAATAAAAATGGGAAAAAATAAATTAAATTACCGTTAATAAAAATGTTTACTACATCGTTAATTCTGTTTCTTTTTTTTTCTTGTCTAAAATTATTTAAATACATTTTATTAAAATTCAAGTATAAATTTATGTATGTATGTATAGAGAAAAGAAAAAGAAAATAAAATTTTTTCATTGCAAATTTTTTCATATTGTTTGTAGCCAAAAGTAAAATAAAATTCTTTTAAAATTTATGCATTTTAAATACAATGGGATTTAAAGTCCCCCAAGTACTAGTGGATTATTTAACAATTTTATTATTTATTTTTAAATTTATATTATGATAGTGAAACGTAATAATATATAATTTAATTGCATATTTAAAACTATTAACTCAATTAAGTCGATTATTTAAATTTTTCAAATTTGGATATAGAACATTTTAAAATAAAATTTTATATTTAATTGTCATTTTCTTAAAAGATTTATTATAAATTTTCTGCCATAATTCGAAAATAAGAATTTGTCAATTGAATTTTATTCCAATTTACGAAGTTTGAAAATTGAAAGTAAAATTGATTGAATAGAAAATTATTTTGAATTATTTCCAATTTTTGAAATTTTCAAATTTTACAATGTATATTTAAAAATCTTACATGAACATTAATAATTTTTCATATTCTAATTAGACTTTTCGAAATTTTTAATTTCATTCACAATATTTTACGTATATAGCAGCAAACACTTTCAAAAGAAATCTAAGGAAATTATTTTAAACAATTTAATAAATTGAAACAATTAAAAACACATTTAGTAGAATGAGAGTTTGTTGTTAAAAAACTAATTTTAATAAATTTAAAAACTAGTTTGTAAAAAAAAAAACTGCAAGAATTTATTATATTCAACTTTCTTTTTTGATAAAATTCAAATATTAATAATTTAATTGCTGACTGTAACTCTACTAAACTATTAGTTGCTTTCAATTATAGTTACTATAATTATATTTTATTTAGATTTATAAATATTTAGTAATTAAAAGGTTAATTTCATAAATTATATTTCGAATTTCTCAATTAACTAAAGAACAATAACATTGACTGATTACGGCAATATGGAGTAATAATTTTAATTCATAAATGTGATGATAAAGGGTTTTTGTTCCCATTAAAATAGTGATAACATAATATTTTCCATTATTGTATGACAACATTGTAGTGTAAGAAATAATTACAATTATAATTGTTTTCAAATTAATTCTTTATAATACATCACTTTTTCTTCTATAGCAAAATATAGCAGAATTTTCGTTTGATATTTATTACAGTTTCAATTCATGGAATGCATTTACCGATTTATAATGACAATTCAGGTAGATTTTGAATTATTTCGAATCAATATAAGAATGATTCCATCTTTAGGCACCTTGATATGCTATACTGGTATAGGGTTAATTTAAAAATACTCATAACATTTTATATTTCAACATTTTCCACCAATGCTTTTTGATATTACCAGTAATATTTGCGGGTAGGTAATATATTTTTACAAAATATTGAACTCATATATATGTATATGTGCAAATAATTAAATCAATTACATTCGAAAGTTTTTGAAATAAAAAAAATACTTACATTTATTGATTTCTAAAACAAAAATTGACAATCAAATGTATTTCCAATTCAAAAAAAGAATGTGTCAAAGTTGTCAAATGAACGAATTCAAATACGAATTGAATGAATAATCCCAAAAAGTGTAATTGTGAAACTTTGACGATTTGAATTAAGTTTTCACTATCAAAAGAGTTACTTTACTTATTTAAATTTAAATAATCCACTAAAAATGTTACCAAACTATTCACAATTTCAAATAAAAGATTTTGAATATATTGTTAGGTTTTTCTGGTTTTCAAAATAATTTTTTAATTTTCATTAATATTTTTAAATGTCCTTATACTTTTTTATTATATTATACTTGTAAATTGTTATCACCACTATTATTCTATATAATTCTTTCAAAATATATTCACAATAATAATATATATTTGTCAATCAGAAAATATTGGAGAAATGTTGTTTGTTTTATTTAATTTTTCAATTCAAATTAATTTATAATATTAAATAACACCTTTGTTTTTTTTTTTTAAATTTATTAAAAAAGAGCGAAATTATTAATATATAATATTTATTAAAAATGTTATTCAATCAATTTATTATTATAAATAATTGTGAATTATTATCATATAAAAATCTCCTTATATAGTCTCAAAATATCAAAATATGCACATACATATGTATAACAGAAGATTAAATTAAATAATTTATATGTACATATACATATGTTTTTATTTGATGTGTCAAAGATGACAATTTTCTCTTTTCTTTTTTATAATATATTAAGATTTCCTTTCTTTTATATTTAATTTTTATTTTTAAATTCAGTATAAAATTTTTTGATTTTTTATAATATAAGAAAAGCAAAATTTATTTATACGATACAAACGCTACGATACAAGTCAATTGACTAAACTGAATTTTATTTTTGAAGTTATTTTTATACTAAATGAAAATTTACAAACAACAATAATAAGAAACAAAAATAATAATAAAAAACCATTTGTGTTATAGGAAGATTGAAAGCTATTCATGGAAAGCCAACAAAGAATGAAACAAGAAATGAAAAACCAAAACATTGAATAGAGAAAAAAAAAGCTTTTTCATGTTATATTTTTGTTTTGGTTGAAATGAAATTGAATGCAATATTGAATTCAATTAATTGAATTGAATATCAAAATTGAAAACTTGTTGTTATAATTCATTACAATCATATTAAATTTACTAAAGTGTTGTTGGAATTTAAATTGAATTCCATTTCATTTAATTGAAATCATTCAAAATTAATTTTTGAATCAAAAGATTCAATTGATAATAATTATGTTTCAATTTTCAGAATACACAACTATATACAAATTGTACTATGTATATACTTCTATGCGCATAATACATAATTATAACATTATTACAGTACATATAAATTATGTTATATACAGAAATATAATATTGTTATATTTACGTATAATAAAATTATTAGAATCTAATTTTGATTTTCTAAATAAATATAATTTTTATTGAAATTCGGTACCAGAGTACATAGAATGTACATTAACTAAACTACATGTAAAACGTAGTACAGTATTAATATATTTTTATGATGTCCATAATAATAATAAAATAAAATTTATATCTATAATAAATACGTAACGTATATGTATATAAATATGTAAAGATAATTTTGTCCCTTATGTTGTTTTATAGGCGTAAAAGATTATTTTGATATTATTATCAATATTGTCTATGCTATTTAAAAGTGTTACCATATTGAATAGAGTAATGAATATTACTGCAATATATGTTATTACTGATTAGTTACATTGAGCGTATGATGTAGTAGATATTGTATAAGTGTTATATTAATGTATAAGCAAGTGTTATGTATACCTATATAATAGATGAAGCAGCGTTTATTATACAATAAGTTCATGCATAAGTGTTGAAAATGTTGTAACATAGCTATAAATATTATGAAATATTGGTTTTTACTTTTACTCTCACTAATCATTTAATTACAATATATTGGTATACAATATAAGTACGTACACAAAATGGCTATTGGTAATTGGTATACATGTTTTAACGATCGGTGAAAGGCGTCAAAAAATTTGTTTATGGCTTCTTAAAGTAACTATTATTGTAATAATAAATTTTATGTATATACATGTACATGATTCAGTAAGAATACAATAATATATATAATTTTTTAGAGGGCATTAAAAATAGGTAAAATGTTTGTCTAGAACTAGTTGTCAAATCTGATCGGGTTCCGAGATACAACGATTAAAGCAAAAAAAATTAGGATGGGTTTGTAAGTTAATCGTCTTTCATTAAATTTGCATTTAGTATTGCCAGAATATGGAAAAAATTTACACTAATTTTAATTTTTTTCAATAGTGATTAATTTATTAAAAATTATTAATGAAATATAAAAATATTTTAATCTATACAGTATGATTAAAATCGTGTAATGAAATTTGCAATTATTTATAAGATCTAAAAAAAAATCTAATGAAAATTTAAAATGTTTGAATTAAACTTTAATTAGCAACTAAATTCCACATTTAATGAAATATTAATGTTAGTATGCCGATAATCTGTAATTGTCACGCTTGAATGTATGAAAATAATATGTTGAATTGAAAACTAGAAAATTTTAATTGCGTTGCTACTATTTTAATTTTTTTTTTATATAAATAAGTAAATCTCGGGACGGAATGTAATATGAGTAAAGGGAGAAGTTTAAATCACAATAATGATCGATATTTTTTCAAAGTATATTATACATATGCATGAAGGTAAAACTAAAAATCTACTACGTTGCAAATTAACTAGAAATATTCAGTCAGTTCGAGTTTTGAATGAAACATCGCACGAATGTTTACAATCGTTTAAAATAAGAAAAGACGTGGAGCACAACTATAATCTTCTATTTTTATTAAAGATAGAAGATTATAGTTGAGCTCTTAATGTTCAAATATTAACAAAATCGTAATACATACCCGTATGTATACTTATGTATGCATATATTTTTCAATTGTTTTCAAAATTTATCCGGAATATTTCGTTAATTTTCATAAGAGCTCTTATAATATTAATTAATCAATAAAATTATGAACAAAAGAAGGAAATAAAATTTTTAAAAAATTATTCATAGTTTGAATAATATCAAAACAAAATAAAAACGAGAAAAAATAAAATTGTACCCGACAACTCTCTGCGACACTCTCTGGGTGATTTATTGATTCTGTGAGTTGCTTGAGAACTAGCACTTGATATTCGACTACTTTTCTACTTTTCTAGTGTCATTACAGGAAAAGAACTTAAGTAATTTCGAATCGTAGCCAGATTATAAGCCGAATAGTTTTTAAAGTTTAATGAAATTTGAAATTCAGTTGATATTCAATATATAGGCGTACGACTCTGTTTTTACATTCTTCTATAAGAAATGTCAACATTTTTATTTTTCTTTTGTTATGTTACGGATGATTAATTTACTGAAGAGTTTAATGTTGAGTAAAAATATATAAGATGATTCACAACAAATTAGGAGTCACATACCTTCAGGTAGACGTTCGAAAACGAGTAAAATTTTTGTTCAGAACATAGTGTCAGATCAGAGTCGTTTCGGAGCTACAGGTATTACTGAATCACCTTGTATAACATGTCAATATTCTAAACTATTATTTGTCAGCATCACAAACTGTATGTATGAAATTTATAATGTCTTTCAAAAATAGTATAAAAAATTATATGTTATTATTATGCATTGTATTAGGAAAGGAATTTTACCTTGTAAATTCATGAACGCAAAATTTTCCAATCGAAATATTATGTGAAAGTAAAAAAATAATCACAAAATTTTTAATAATTTACAATTACTTTTTGATTCTTTTTCGTCTTCTGTGTATAGGTAATTGACTGATTTTATGAATTCCAGAAAAAAATCGTGAAGTATGTATTTTATGATTCCAATTTTTGTATTTAAATAAAATTTTGGTATTCTAACCTAATTTTGTTTAAATACTTATTGAATTTTAGTGTTTCCGTTTTGTACATTTCTAATATTATGAACGAATAATATTTGAATACCACAAATTTTATTTTTCCTTGATTGTATAAGATATAAGTGTTTTGATTTTTAATAATATTATAGAACAGACCTTGTGCCAATATTTTTGCTATTGTTGTTTTTTAGATATTTTGACTAATTATTAGCGGCCGATCTCTTATAGTTCTGGCAGAAATTATGAACGAGGATTTTCAATAAGTGATATAAAACGTCGTGGTTTTCAGAGCGTTCACGATTTTAATAATTTAATAATTGTAATTATTACAAATTCCTTCTCATTGAAAACAACCATACAAAATAATACGATAATTATTAGTCTAAGCTGCACCTTATTTCAATGACACAATCAACTCGTCAGAAAATGACGCCCCACATATTCCTTTGCTAAAATCCCTCTTCTATTTCTCATTTTTTTTGTATTTTTCTCTAATTTAAATTATCAAATCGTAACAATATTTAAGTATTTAAATAATTTTCAGTGTAATGTTTTGCTTTTTCTAACTATAAGCATAAGAATGCCTTGCACACTAATTTATATACAATGAACAAATTAAATACACATCCCCGTACATATATACCATTTGTTTTAGAACAAGGTTAATATTTGATCTAAATTTTTCGATTATTTTCATTATTATATTTTGAGTTATTTGAAAAAAGAAAATAATTCAATGTTTTATTTAAAAGTCACTTGAGGCCATATTTTCTCAATTAAAACATAAAATAGAGCGTGCCGAATTATTTTGTTCTAAAAATTATTATGATGAGCAACAGATGTCGTGACGACAATAACGGCAACAAAAAAGATAACGGCAGTAAACACTTTGAACTTAGGTGTTTATTATTGATGATATTAGAAATTATTTTACACATTTTACCTTAACCCACCAAAAAAAATTTACGACAAGGTAGACATGCCGTCACTTATGTCAATATTTTTTCATGTTTAATAACATATATTATGTCTGTACACAATGTAGGTAAAAAAGAGTTTTCAAAATTAAAAAAATATGACATTTTAATGAATTTACATTAATAATTTTTTTTTTTGTTCATTACTTTCAGGAAAATCATGTACAATATCCACTTTTTTTTTATAAATCAAATAATTTGTTTACTTTGCGTATTTGTACTTTTTTTAGATACCGCCAGGATAAATAATTATTTTACAACTATAACACAGCATTTTTTTTTAATGGAACAAAATAAAAGTTGTTATTGTTTATTTACATTATTTTATTTCCTTATGAGATCGTAAATAAATTGATTAGTTAAGGTTACCATTAACTTTGAGCTAAA